TGAACCATTATGCCAGCTGCATTTTTGGTTGTAGCTGTGTTGGTCTAAGGCAGTGGTCACCAACCAGTAGATCTCGATTGACTGGTCAATCGTGGAGCCTCTGACAGTCGATCTCAGTCTGTCAGGGGCTCCACAATTGGGAGTGGCAGGATGAATGTGACTGGGCTGAGCCATGCCCCCCCACTGTCCATGCTGGGCTGGGTGAGTGGGGTCAGAGCCCTGGTAGCTTCTCCAAGAGGTGTGGGGGGGGAGCTGGGGACAGGGCAGGCAGAAGGGGTGGCGATAGATCCTGGGGTGCCAAAAAGTGATCTTCACCATTAAAAGGTTGGAGACCACTCTTTGCTCTAAGGACATAGGCAGGCAACCTTGCCTGCCATTATACCAGCTAGTCATTTTATAGTTTAAAAATGCACTGCAGGGGAGGCATGAAGTTCAGAAGCCTGATCGTCCCTGAAGCTGTATAGAGTGCAGTAAAGCAGAAGCATGCAAAGTAAATGAACTTTGACCTAGAACGTGGAAATTGGAGTCAAATGGGACCTGACAGTATCATCCTTTTTTTTGCATTCAACTTTGTTGTTGCACCGAGTGACAGTTGTACTTGAAGATGATGTGCCAGTGCAACAGTAGGACATATGCTAATGCTGCCTTGTAGAGAATAGCATCACGCCTGTTACTATGCTGAAACTGGAAGTCTGTGAGACGAGGTGCAGTTTTAAGCTTGCTTGAGTCAGGATATTTGAGCTGCTGATAGTTAACATAAAGGTTTCCTCAGACCCTTAAAGCACAGACTTTGTCATCGATTTGGAGTTATTCTGATCATCATCTTTAATGCACGGTTGATTGACAATAAAGTTATTGTCATCCGTGAGACTTGTGACGGTGCATGTAACAAAGACCAGACTAAGAAACAGTGGGACCACTGCTAGTGCATTTTTATTCAGTTGAATATGCAGACTAACATTTAGGAAATCATGATTAGAGAGGAGATGTGGTTGTACTTTTTGCATCTGATTACAGATGTCTTTTACAATGGTAACCACAAAATATTGTTGACGTATTTGTGATCTCTTGAAAAAGTGGATAGAGTCATTCTAGAGTGGCTGCCCTCTGCTTACCAAGGGCCATATTTCCCCAACTGCTCTTTCATTCCCAGGCTTCAGTCTCATATCGCTTACAAAGCTAGTAAGTAAATATAATTCATTAACAGGGAGCTGAGAGACAAGCCTGAAATTCGTCAATGGTGGGATATGCCGAATACATTGATGGGGAAGGGGAATGGAGGAAAGCCTCTGGTTTCATGAACAAGGAGATATCTAGAAATTAGCATATGTGGTGTGGTGGAAGAGCTCTTTGTGCCCCTGTTCCTTTACTTGTCAGGGATGTCATGAGCCTAAATACCATAAATTAAAGATTATGATGTATTCATCTACAGGGAGAGTAGACTATCCCAAAATATGTTTTTGGGTGACAACAGCAATGTTCTGGGAATTAGAATCTATTCAATGGGTAGGTAGGTGGAAAAGAGGCAGAAGAATTGATTTGACTCATGTGGGAGGGCAAAATTGATTTAATGGTGTTGATCATGGCTTTACAAGAAGTTTATTATTTGGGGAGTGAAACCATGGCAATACAGTTTGCCTAAGCATGGCTTTGGAACGTAGCTATACAGTCAACATAGCTAGTCCTGAGATGAGTAGGTACCAAGGAAACCATTGTTTTCCCTAGCTGTTTGAGAAGAAATAAGAACACAGTGTCATTGGATGTGAGAGCTATTTTGGATTTGTTGTTATAGTGGGTGAATATTATTATATATCCTGTGTACAGTCAATTATATCTGACATATATTGTAGATTTTCTATTTTGTCTACTTAAAAAAATTGTAGAAGTGCCTCAAGCCAGGGGTAGGTGCTTAAATTGTAACGTGAAATAAATAAATACATTGAATAAATAATTGAAGCAGGCACTTGTAGATAATAATGAAATCTAGCTTCAGGGTACAAACTGTTACAAGTCTTAATACAGCCGAATCTTTAATAAAGCAGATGCAGTAAAAACCCCAAAGAAATATTTTTTCTCTACAAACTAACTAACTAAAATGATTTCTGTTGGGTGAATTAAAAGCTTCATCAGATTGACATGGAGTCTAGTTACTAGAGAAACTTATTTAATGTTAATTCCTTTTTAACAGAAATTGTGCATGTCATTGCAGGTATGGCTACAAAAGTATGGCTATCTTCCACCAACTGACCCCAGAATGTCAGTGTTGCGCTCTGCAGAGACCATGGAATCAGCGATAGCTGCCATGCAGCAGTTCTATGGCATTAATATGACAGGAAAAGTGGACAGGAACACACTTGAGTAAGTAATTGGTATTGAACTACTCTTGGCTTTTACATTTCCGTAAAATAAAGCAGAACTGAAGGAAATTCAAAGCCAATGAACTGTGGTAACTAGGGTATCCAAACAGCATGGCAACTCAGATGGGGAATTAAAGTGCCTGTCCTCCCTCTCTCTCTCTCTCTCTCTCTCTCTCTGTTCTGCTCTATTTTATAATGTCCAGTAGGCAAATTTCTTCTGTCAGTCTGCCTTCCCTTTTTTTGGTATGTGATCCAAAGTGAGATATTAGAGGGTTAATTATAAGTATAGACTATAGCTCCCAGTATAAAAGTTTCAGAAAAAAAAAAAAAGACAGCGTGTATCCCAGTGGAAAAGGACAATATCTTTGATTGAAAGTCTTTAGGGTGTATTTCCTTTTACTTAGGGTTACCGTATTTCCAGTTTTAAAAAAGAAGACACCTAGAAGGGTAGGGGGTAGGTAGTATGATTTAGGGGGGGAGGCAGTCATATGCCTGTGCCCTGCCCCTCATTCCTAAGTCATAGCCCCCCAGCTCAGCTGCTGCCCCTCACTCTGAACCCACAGTACCCTGCCTCCCAGACCATGCTGGTGCCCCACACTCCCAACCTGCAGTACCCCATTCGTGCTGTTACTCCTCACTCCCAAACTGCAACCCCTGGCACTTCCTGTGCCCTACACTCATGACCCACAGTTCCTCACCCCCCTGGTGCTCCTCACTCCCAAGCCACAGCTTCCGTCTTTTCCACCTTGCTAGTGCCTCTCATTCCTGACCCACAGCACCATTTTCCCCACAACCCTGCAGTGTCTCCCAGCTGTCCCACCAGCCCGGCCACACAGCTCTCTGCTGCTTCCAAAGGGCCCTCCTGCCCTCTTCCCCAACTGGAGGGGCAGATGTCTCCCCTGCCTCCCCCACCCTGCTGCAGCCCCAGCACCCGGACAGGTTCCTTCAAATCCAGCAGGCACCCACCCCCCCTCACACACCCATTCCCTTCACGTGCACACACACACACACACCCCCCCACACCCACCCACCCCAGACAGTCCTCAAGACCTGACCCTCCAACCCCCCACCTGCTTCCAGGGCTGTTCCCACCACCCTGCCTGGCTGTATACCAGGCACGTGCATGTGTGCACGGAGATGCACATGATGCCCCCTGCCTCTAATCACCCTTCCCTTCCCCCACCCCCTCACACACACTCCTCCCAGCCCCAAGCAGCTCCTTGGAAGTTCTGGGAAAAACTTTCATGCTGAGCAGACCAAAACCCTGGACATTTGTTGGTATTTTAAAAAGCCACCCAGACAAAGATGGGAGGACCGAAAAAGAGGTCCTGGGAAAACCTGGGGAATATGGTAACCCTATTTTACTCCTCTACCCAAATATCTTTACAGCTCTCCTCTGGCCTATTGATTTGGTTTCAAAACCAGAAAATATAGATATGATCATTTTAGCATGTGATAGATTTAAATTCATTCCACATGCTTAAATCATTTAGGTTCTGCAGTATGCGATTTTACTACTGCAGAACTACTACTATGTGGAACGTTATGTCAGTAGATACAACACAACACTGCACAGGAACATAGTGGAAATTCATATTCAAAGACATAAAGGAGTAATGGACCATGGAGTGGGTGAGTAGGGCATGTGCCATGGTTACTGCCTAGGGGAAGAGAGGAGAGGTACTCACCTCAAGGGTACTGCTTGCTGCTGCCTCTCCTATTACTGTTGCCTGCCAGCTGGCTGGTAACTATGGGTAGGGACAGAAATGACACATAAACCAGTATAAGTGACTGGAAACTGGTTCAAATCTATAACACAACAGAAGTTCAGTGCACATAAACCACTTTCAAAATGGCTGAAATGGGTTTAAGATAAATGTGGTTGGCTGTAGTATCAGACTTAACTGATTTAGGTTCAATCGGTTTATTGAACTGCTGTCCCAGATTCCTTCCAGATTCAAGTTAATTCATAGTCCCGCAACATCCCAGGATGCTTTTGTACCTCCCCATCAACTCCCCCTTCACAGGGTGGGTAGGCTAGCCTTGGCCCAAGCTGTCTGCTTCAGGCAAGCAGGGAGGGGTTCTGTAGCGCCCACCAGCTTCTGACCTGGGTTACTGCAGGCATGTGGCTGCAGTTCCAGAATCAAAAGTAAATGTCTGTTCACTTTCTTAACGGTTCAATCTATGTATCTTAGACTAACCTGCAAAGATTGAATCAATTCAACCTTGGGCTTTTTGACTGTCTGTACTTAATCCAAGTGCCCCTGTGATGCACAATTGCTGGTGCAAGCAATGTGCATCATAGAGTGCAAGGCATTCTGGGAACTTTAGTTTTGTAGACCAGCAGAGGAGTTTGTTGCTTCTGTGGAGAACAATTGAGCCACATGTTTTGCTGCTGAATTCAGAATTTTTTTTTTTGCCCTCTGGACATGGGCTTGGATACCACAAAATGGGTTGAACGTTTCCCCTGGCAGCAGCAAGCTCCACTGCCAGTCTAAAGAACTGTGTTTCCCAGAACACCTTGCATTCCATGAGACTGCACAGCTCTGTGCTTTGTTCCTGCACCTGTGACTGAGAGGTAAGAGAAGATAGGGGAGACTAGTAAAAGCAGGCTATCTAGGGTGCTTTTTTTTCCATGCTACACCTCTGGCTCATAGAAATGTTAAAGTAAAATGTGCCAAAATAAAATAATAAATATTAATGTGTGATTTAGAAAATAAATCTGCAAATAGGAGTCTGAAATGCTTACTTGCATTTTCTTTGTTGGAATTTAAGAAAAAAAATACAATCCCTATTAAAGAATTTCTGTTGCTTCATAGCAGGTGATAACATTTGCTTCATAGCACACTGTGATAACATTTCCACTGGTTGCTGCATAGGAAATGAATCAACATTGTTATTCCAAAATTAACAGAAAGCTTTCTGTAAAAAAAATTCCCTCTGTTCTCCCCCTATACTCTCATCCACGGTCCTCTTTCTCCTCCCCCCTTCTCTGAGTGGTAGCTTTTTTGGTTGTTTCTTGGTAAAATAGCTGCCATGAATATTTTCTTTTTTAAATTGCTTAACAGTTTAAGAAAGAGTCTTCCTAAACTCCCCATCAAGGATTGGAAAAAATCATTTTATTCCACTAGCACATGCATTTTTACACTGGAAAGCAATAACGAAAACCATTTTAAGAGCTGCCCCAGGGGGAGGTGAGTTGGTCAGATGTCCCTGGACCTAGGAATTTAGAGGACCTTGTCACAGGCAAAAGCAATAGCAATAGAATCAGAAAGTGCATGCTGTCTTGTGAGAAATCCAGGTTTAGAAGTATATTTATGATTCAATCTGCTGGGTGGAATTAGAGTGTGAGTTCTTCACAGAGCTAAAATGATTGATCCATGAGGAGAGAATGCTGTTATACCAGCTACTAGTAGGCTTTTAAAGCCACATTAGTGGTGGTTTTGGAAAAGGCCATTTATTTCAGTAGAAGGAAAATAATCTGTTATGAATTGGCAGCAAGGGGAGTATAAGTGGCAAACAGGGCAGGGGTAGGGCACGATGACCATTCCTCATTACTGGATGTCAGGCAGCATGTATAAAGAGCTTCAGTTTGCAAGGAAGATATTTTCTACCTACATAAAAATTTCAACCTCCAGTAAATGAAGCTGGCCATGCTAGGTAGCACACCAGTGAGCCTGTCTCTGTCTCTCTGTCTTTGTCTCTTTCTGTCACTCTCTCTGTCTCTCTATTGTTGCTACCTTTTTTTCAAGGAACCTGTCTACCATTACAATCCAAATTCTATATTTTGTATTCTGTTTTATTCTTGAGCGTTTAAGTTCCTTGAGGCAGATAATGAAGCAGTGTGCTTAGCTACACAGAGAAGTATAAAAACACACACACCATCAGAGCACAGGTATATTGCATTTAACCCTAAAACATAGTTAGTTTACTTGGAGTGTTTCCTGCATTCGCCTATACGTTTGCAGTTTTTCTGACTTCATTTGGCTTGCATGAGACTACCTGAAGTGTAGAAATTGGCCCATTAATCTATTAGCACAGATGCACTTATCTTGAGAAAATACACTTATTGGGCCAGATCATGCCCTCGGTTATCTATTTAGCATCACTGAAATCACGCTGAGCTGCCTTTTGGATTGTTGCTGTATTACAGGATTTTGTAACCATCTCATCCTGAACAAGAAGCATGTTCTTTTTGGGCCAGAAGTGTCTGACAATTTATGATTTATCCCTTGGTAGTTAATAAACCTAGTAATAAAGATTAGGAACCAAAAGAAAACACCCAGCTTATAAAATGAAACTGTGGTAGGAACCTCATAGAAACACAGTATGCTCTCATCTTGTTGCACAGGGATTTACGAAACACAGTATGCTCTCATCTTGTTGCACACAGATTTCCCTGCCTATGTCCCACACACTGAGAAAAGATTACCAGTTAATCTTAAGAAGGACAAACAATTAAAAGAAGTTAATATAGTTGCCTAATAGGAACCAACTTCGGGAGTATTACCAGAGAAATAATATGTAGCAACAGCATCATCAGAAGTCTCTTAGGGATGGACTTGGTTGTTGTCTGAAACAAAATATCCCTAAAGGAATATTTAGCATGCAAAATATTAGAGGCGCTCACTACACCCTTAATATCACCACTTACACCTTGTTGCATTTTGGAACTGGTTTCTCAGGAAGTTTGAAAACAGCTGTACCTGTTTTATAGATGAAATTAGGGGCTGGGAGTAGAAAGGATTATTCTTATAATGCCATGAAAAAGGCAGGGTTGTTAAATTATTACAAAATATTCCAGTGATAATGTTTAGTTTTGATAATATTTTACATTATGGCCTCCATATGTTACCAAGATCAGTCAATCTTGCATAGAAGTGGGATTTTTATAAATTACTGCATTGGTTACTTTTCTGTACTTCCACACTCTTAAAATATATATCTGAAAATTTAACTTGCTGCAGTAAGGTGAAAAAAGGAGTAGGTATTACCTTATTA